TCGGATTTGCTAAATGTACCTTGAATTGAAGCTTTAGAATGGTGATTGAGTGTGTTGTTGACATGTTTACATAAGGCTTTCATGATTAAACATTTTCATTTCATAAAAATATTGAAATCATGTAAGGTTTTTAAGTTAATTCAAGATATGCTATGATGATTACTTGTTTAATGTATTGAAGCTTGCTTTGAATTTGAAGTAACAATGTGCTAAATGATTTATTGCAAGCTTAATTTAAACTTGATCATCTCTTGAATTAGCTTAGACACTTGTTAAGTCTTTTGAAACTTAACTCACTCTCCTTTTCAGTATCACCTTTGCAGGAGTACAAGATGGTGAAGGTCACTGAGTCCCAAAAGAAGAAATCCAACATACCACAGCAAAACTATGAGGATGGAGGTACTTTTAAGGGCAGGGGTGGTAGAGGCAAGGAGATAGTTCGGGAGGATTCTGATGAGGAGGAAGCTTCTAACGAGTCTGGTGGTACTGATGAGATTGCTCACACAAAGAAGAAATCTAAGAAAGCTGCTGAGCCAAAGAAGAAGAAGCCTCCACCTTCAGAGCTTGCTAAGCTCCTCAAGGCTATGGACTTCTTGCCGACAGTCTATCCGGATCCTATTATACTGCAACAGTTGGGTCTTTATGAAGATGTGAGGTCTCTATTATCACATATGGGACTAGAGAGCTTGTTGACCTTGCATAGGCCCGGTTATGAGGTTGCCACAGATCAGTTCCTCTCCTCTCTTACTGCCACATACTTTGGAGAAGAACATCCAGAAGATGGATTTGGGTTCATCAAATTCAAGGTTGGGAGGCAAGCATACATGATGTCCTTCAAGCGGATTGGCGAGGTTATGGGCTTTCCGGATAGGTACGGTTCAGAGATTACTAGTGGACAGGAAGATCCTGAAGGATTATGGAATATGATTGGAGTTGGGACTTATGACACCAAGCTGATCAAGGGAGCAGATATCAGGAACCCTGCTCTACGCTATGTTCAAAGAGTCCTTTCACAAACCTTGTATGCTAGGAAGGATCCAGGACGAGTAGTGGAGGATGAGATGAGATTCCTCACCTACGCCCTTAAGGATGTGATAGGAGACAGATTTGATAATGGTATATGGGTTCATGATGGAGTCAATGTCAATCCAGGAGTTGTGGGAATTTTCGTGAACCGTCTACTCCATTATCAAGACTTGGCATGGACAAAGAAGGATAAGAGCTCCAAACTAATTGTAGGAGGCCTTATCACACCACTCTTGGAAGCGATGGAGGTTCCTCTACCTGCGCCCGATGCTCCATTTACATTGATGGACGAGACCTTCCTCACAAACTGCGGTTTCCTTAGTGGAAAAATAGGAAATCAATGGGTGTATAGCTTCAGGGTGGTGAAGGAGCAAAACAACTTCGTAAGGACGTTCCTTCCTAACCAACCCCTCACTGCTGTTGCTGATAGAGAGAACATCAAATTCAGGATTCCTCAAGCGACTTTTTACAACCTTGAAGTTCATGAGATACCAAAGAAGATCAGTAAGAGCAAGAGGAGACAAGCCACTACTGATTCTCAGCAATAGGGGCAAGCTGCAGAAGACCCTATCTATGGCTGTTCTCGGTATTACTTTCAGCCTTATAGCGGAGCTCTCCCTGACGGTCCTCTCCGCGAAGCTCATCAACAGATTAGGACTCTGCAGCGGGGAAACAAGTTTTAGGATAGGATCATCTCAAAGCTTGTGAAGTCGGTGAACTATTTGGAAAAGAAAGTGAAGAGTTTGACTTTGCTAGCTAGAAGATCTCGAGCTCCTACTCCTGTCACTACTGATGATCCTATGGAAGCTGAGGAGGCTGGAAATGAAGATGCGGATGTGCCGGTTCATGCTCATAGGCACTCCTACCATGGTGATGCTAGTGCCACTCAGACTTATTATGAGGAACCGCGCACTTCTCTCCGTGATCCCAGACAGCGCCGACCACGGCGCCAACTTCATTCGATCCTGAACCGTTCACACCCTTTCGGTCCCGACACGTTCGCACCTTTTTGGTTCCGACACGTTTGCACTCTTTCGGTCTCGACATGTTTGCACCCTTTCGGTCCCAACACGTTCGCACCCTTTTGGTCCCGAACCGTTTGTACCCTTTCGGTCCCGACACGTTTGCACCCTTTGGGTACCGACACGTTCACACCCTTTCGGTTCCTACATTTTCGCACCCTTTCGATCCCTACACATTCGCACCCTTTTGGTCATGACACGTTCGCACCTCTTGGGTCACAACACATTCATACCTCTTGGATCACTACACATTCATACCTCTTGGGTCACGACACGTTTGTACCTCTTGGATCACGATGCACTCGCATTCCTTGGATCACGATGCACTTGCATCCATTGGATCACGATATGATCGCACGATCACACCCTTTGGATGACACCCCTTGATAGCATCCCTTGATGACATCCCATGCTACTAAATGACTGACTTTGACTACTTGTTTCAAACAAATAACGTGTTATTTAAAAAATACATTGATTGATGATCAAAAGGTATGTTTAGTTTGAGAAAGAGTATTTTCAAAGAAGAGTTGCGAGGAAAAAAATGTTTAACAAAAAAAAAACATTTTTAGGACCATTAGATAAAAAACATAGCAATTAGAACCACCGGACTGAAACTTTTCAAATCTTTTATTTTTTAAATACAAGAATTATGGAAAAGTATGACTCTTTCTATTAAAGAGATGTGTTGTTTCAGAAAAAAAAACTGCTCACAACAAAAATATTTTATGTGTAAAAACATTTTTTAGGACCATTAAATGAGAAAAAAAAATTAGAACCATCAGATTGTTACTTTTCAAACATGAAAAAATAAGACTCTTTTATTTAAAGAGATGTGTTGTTTCAAAAAACTAACTGTTATGGCAAAAGTGTTATATGTCATACAGATTTTTTGGAATCATTAGATGAAAAAAATAACCATTAGAACCATCAGTTTGTAACTCTTTGATTAAATGATGTGTTGTTTGAAAATAAATAATTGTTTCAGGTAAAAATAATTGTTTAATGATGAAAGGGTATCATTGTGGTTCTTAAAAAGATATGTACTTTGAAATACATGCCTTTTAAAAGAAGAGTTGTCAAAATTTGATAACATCAACACTCATTGCAAAAAGTGTTTGTGTCCATTAAATCTTAAAATCAAGTGAATTATGACCACTGGATTCAGTTTTTTTCGTATAAAAAATGATGATTTCATAGGAGGTTTACTATTATATATATATATATATATGTACATATTATCAAACTGATGACAGTCATGTTATCATAATAATTGAGTATAATTTTTGAAATAAATATATTGTAAGCCTATAAAAGATAATATATTTGGAAATTTTAAGGATTTGATTGTTGATGGGTTTAAAACACTCTCAAATTCGAAACCAAAACCTCACCACCCTTTCTACCCCAACACCACTAATCCTAGTATAAGGATCAGCTATCACCAGACTCTAACACTCACCACACATACTTAGCAAATATTTTTGATTTTTGGCTACTTTCTCTCTCAAGAATTAACAGCAAGAACGACTTAAAAGAGAAAGCTCTGAGTTTCTAAACTCTCAAAAACTCATCCTAAGGATCTTATTAATAGCCACATATTGCATGCAAATCCCTTGACAAGTGCTTATCCAAGTGTCACCATAAAATGCTTTCTTGCATGCAATAGTGGAAAGTGATGATAACCCACTCACTTTAGTTCCATTTTCTAGAAGCAAAGTCACACTCCTCACTAGGTTCAGTGTACGAAAATTCAGCTCTAAACTTGCTTTCCAAGTTACTTTACCACATCAGCCATTTTTAGGAAACAAATCACCTTCATGTATAACATGTGGTAAACATACGTCCTAGGCTTGTTCTCCTTGTTCAGTGTAGATGTAAACATGTCTTGAATGCACCTATGCATGCCCATCTTCCAGCATAACATGTTACCATCACATTTCCTTCTTTGGCCACAAAGGTAATTTTGGACCTTTAAGGTAAATGAATAACCCAACCCACTTTACCCTTCCAAATACTGTTCCAGCCTGATCCAATAATACATATGGGTTCTATACAAGGCTTAGATGTTGTGTGGTTCATGCTGAAAAACCATCTTCACCCATCTCACTTCCATGTGAAAATGTTCTCATTTTGAAGACAAAAAGGATCTTGATGTCTCCAAGCAGTTTTTTGGATTTTTGCACTTCATTTCTTCACCATAAACCTCTTTATTTATTCCACATCCTGCCATAAGTTGAAAGAACTTGACTATTCCACGTGGCTAGTTCTCAACCATTGGATCGGAAGGTGCCATGTGGCACAGTTTGGACTGTTGACTGTTCTTGATTTTTGTTGACTTTCTCCACAAAAATTGACCTCAATATTTAATCTATATCTTGTCTAAAACACTTTTTTAAATCTATATAATAAGCTTGCACATCTTTATTTGGCTTTCGTTTCATCCGATTAACCAATTTCGACCAAAATTATATTCCTCTAAACCATCTTAGTTTTCCCTTGATTAAACTTTATATATTTGCTCCATATACCTTAGGAAAGGTTACTAGATTGATCCCAAACTCCTATATTCATAATAGTCTTCTTTGCCTTTCGACCGTTACCGATATTCTTATCGACCATCTCTGAGATCTCTTTCGACCACTTTTGGTTCCACTCGACCATTCTTGAAACTTCTTCGACCAAACTTCTAATCATATCTCCTTATATGATCTCACTTTAATCTTTGGTTATCGATATTACACTGCCCCTCACGATGATTGCTCTGCGTGAAAACACTTGTCCTTGTATCACCAAATCAATAACATGACATTAGTTTCAAGAATGGTAGTTGCATTGGTGGTTTCTCAAAACATGTCTTTTGTATGCTTAACTTTGCAGCAAGGCCATGGAGTAGGTGATGAAGAATAAGGCTATGATCAAAGCCATTGGAGATCCTATTCAGAAAGGGCCATGGTGATGGTACAATGCATCACTAGCCGTTTCGCAGCAAAGACGTACAGTGTCTTGTATCTCAAAGTTATTTGCAGTGGAGGTATAGTTTTCTAACGCACCAGTCTGTCTCCTCCCAAAACTTGCATGTTAAAATGTGATGATGCTATACAAAATGCTTGCATGTGATAGTGTTACAATTTAAAAAATGTCTGTTATATATATCTACATTTGCCATTTTCTCATTTAATGGACTTCTTTATTGCTGCTCTTTGGGTTTCGTGGAACAGAAGATAGCTTGTTCGGGTTTCTCCAGCAAAGGGACTGGGATATTCTGATAATGGAAGCACATGTCCATGTCCCTTCAAACGATGGACCCCAACAAACCTTGAGAATCGAAATCTCTGACTTTCGTCCCTCTTTGGACTATGAACCAGAAAGAGCTAAGAAGATAAAGAATGCTGCGTACAAGTGCGCAAAGCTTTGTGGAGCTCCTGGCTAAGCTTTGAAAGTTCTCAAAGGCTTCACCAAGGATTCTACAACGGCGTAATTGTGAATGGTTACCATATTCTATTTGAATATATGAAGAAAAAGTTATCATTTTCTCATAGCAAATATCGAAGACATTGATTAAAAAATCAGGGTATTATGTTTATTGATATATTTTGTTTCCACGATCTCTTAAAAGTTCCATAGTTGGTAAAATCTTGCAAAATAAACATAGCACTTAATTCAGCTAAACTCGAAAAGAGTCTCTGCTCATTATTACTCTCAGTGGGTTTAGCTAATACAACAAGAATCTGAAAACAAACTTTTCTAAGAACATGGAGAAGCTACATTTCTGACACCAATACAACAAAAATATATAATTTTATGTCCGTATTAACAATAACCAAAATTTATAATGTAAGCAAAATGTGGTGGGTTCTTTCTCATTGTGTCTTATCTCTCTGTTCACTCTTCCATGAATTCTTAGCTGCATCTGCCGAAATGGTCGTACCTCCATTGCTGTCGCTGCTACTATCTTCTCCGGGCTTCGGTTTAGAGAAGAACGGGTCCCACACGTGCCCCCCAGCTTCCCGTTGGCCTTCCTCCAGCAACGCATACTTCCAGCTATTCTCCTCCAAGAAGTTGTCATACTCGGTTCGACCCTCGATCATGTTCTTCCTCAACCGAGTCACCTTGTCTATTATGGCCTGTACCGACACATCAAACGCATCCTTCAGTGTCTCCAGCTCTGATCTCGGGTCAGCGTAGATCAGTCCCGGGATGAGGTTTATGACGTTCTCTCTCATGACCTTGACCTGCTCTGGTGGTATCTGCAGGAGCCGTTCCTTGATGCTTACGTTTCTCTTCCTTATATCATCCTCGGGGATGAAAACAGAGTAGGTCGTGTAGTTTTTAGGTAGATGCCACGTGTACTGAGTGTAGGCTGATCCAGGGTGAAAGAAGACAGGTATCCAACCCGCAAGCATCGAGTCAAAAGCAGATCTTCTGGTGTAAGAGTCTCCCTGAGGCTGCAGACAGAAGAGAGAGCCTTGAAACATTTGCATAATGCTACTCGGCGCGTGACATTTGCTCTCCCTGAAGTCACACTCCAAGAGCTTTCCAACTTTTGAGTTTCTGCATTGATCAATGATCTGCCCCCTTATAGATTTGGGGTTGTCTGGTCGTGGAGCTCCTGCAAACGAGAAGAGCCACTTCCTCTCAAGGCTTCTCATCCGCTCTTGCCACTCAAACACCTCCGAGTCCTTAGCTGGATGGAAGTAGGTCGGGTAAGGGATCCCGAAATCGTTAGCGTTCCATGGACTAGACTCAACCACAAGCATAGACATGTTCTTGGCAGCTGGTAAGAAGAGAATCTTGTTCCCCCAATCAGTTTCCTCTTCAGACAATCTCCTGAAATCCCAAGTGATCCTACCAGCCACTAGGAAATGATCTTTCCCTTTCATGATATCCCACTCAGGCCGTTTCATGAGCCAATCACCAACTCAAGAGAAGCAGCGTCCCTGGTGGAGATGTTGTACCCCCAGAGGTACCTAGCAACGTCGAAACCAGCGTAGAAGGGCACGAAAATGGCGGCAGCGAGGGAAGAGTCATTGGTCAAGCATTTGTACTGCTTCATACGGTTGCTGAAGATGACGTCGACAGCGAACTGATTAGTAGCGTACCAGCCTTGATCAGAGAAGACACCTTCAACATTCTCTAAAGGAGGGCCAAGGTCAGCGTTGGTAGTGAACTTGCACATGTTGGTCCAGAGACTAAGCTTCTTACAGTCACGAA